CAAGGTGGATGCGATATCTTCCCTGGGGTATGGCTGCCTCAACAAGGTACTACAAAACTGAGTGCATACGGGTATACCCTTTGAAGCACCCACCTTCAACGTCTTGTCGTACAACATGCCGAATGTGTAGCGTTTGGTAAGCCGGGATGCCCGATAAACCCATGATTTCATCTGGTTTGGCGCAGCGTGGGTAGCCGGGATGCCCGATCAACCCATGATATGTCTGGTTTGGCGCAGCGGACTCCAAGGGTGGTGTCCAGCTTGTGGCACATCCTTGCGAAACGCAGCCTGGGTCGGCAAAACATCGGGCATTGCTCCCCGTCCCGGCATTGTAGGGATGCGAGGTCAACGGTCTAGCGACTACCGCACGAGTGAATATGGGTACCTCCCCACTTGCCGTGGTGTTTGTGATTGGTTTTGTTTTTTTTGCATCTTTTTCTGTCGATTTTGCTTCCTCGTTTTTCCCGGGGATTGCTTTTGTTGTGGTAGGTGTGTTAATGTTGTCGCCATTCTCTGAACGTTGGCCGCACGCGGGTTTATCCGGTTCGTGTTGTTGTTGTTGTTGTTGTTGTTGTTGTTGTTGTTGTTGTAAGTTGTAAGTTGTGCTGGCACTGCCTGGTCTGTTTCTCTCTACAGATGTTGAAAGGGACTCCCAATCTTGATCGGTCCACACGAGCGACCACACCGATCGCCGTTTCGTTTGTCGTGGCTTCCAAGAGTTTTCATTCATTCGCCGTAAACACTTCCAACCCACATGCCCTTCGGCTGTTGTTATATGTGGAACGGGCAGTCTCTCTGTGCTGGTATGTGTTTCTGAGAATATCATTTATCGTGTTTGTTCATGTCAGGTTGTCCTAGAATTCCCGAGGGCGTTCTGGCTTGTCAAGATGGGTTCCCGGCGACTTTTAGCCCACGTCTCCGAAACACCGGGTAAGCAGATACGGTATACATTCCGGTTTGGGTTGACGCGAGGGTGAAAGGTGACAGGGTAAAAACAAACGTTAAAACCGGCTGTTCCCGGCGATTGTTTGCGCGTGTTTCACGAACCACCGTGTTAGCAGCCATGTGATCGGAATCGACACTTTACTTATGTGAAAAATGTCCGAAATTTCGATACAATAAATCAAGTACATGTTCGGTTTAGGTTAGCGGGATGGCGTGAAGGGGATGGGGAAATCCACACTGAGCAAGCCGGCCGCCCCAGGCGGCTGCAGTCTCGTCTGCCCGAAACGTTGAGGGAGTACAGTAAGACACGTACCGTTCGGTTTGGGTGGGCGCGAGGGTCAAAGGGATGGGATAATGTGCATGGATGAACCGGTTTTACCCGGCAGTTGCTGGCGCGAGTCTTCGAAGCAGTGGATGAGCAGTGGGGTACCGGTATTCATCCAGCACACACACACAAAACATGTAGGACGTCAACAGAGTGGTGCTCGTCACCCGACGCTGGCCTAGCAGCTAACGTCGATGCTCTTTTTTTGTCGTTCATCGTTCGCTTTGTCTTGTCATATATATGTCGACTGCGGTGTCTCAGGCGCCTTCGCCATTGTCTGCTCTTCGTCTTGCTCATACAAGCTCTCTCTCTCTCTTTCGGCATGCACGACTATGAGTACACCCTCCCCTCATCCGCAGTCGGTCGTGTGGGAACAATGCTCCGCCTTCCCGAGGACGTGTGGTCAGTAGTCTAACTGCTACGGCTGCAAAACATTAGAGTACCCCCCCCCCCCCCTGACCCCCATACCCCCATACTCCCATCTGCCCTCGCTCGGTACACCTCCATCTCGACTCAGCTGGCCCTGGGCTTTCTACTTAGAGGCGTTCTTCATGGCCCCGCTCGCGATGGCGTGCTCCCTCGTCCCCCGCGACCGCGCCATGGCCGTCTCCAACGCCTTCGACCACGGCGCCTCCCCCGGCTCACCCGCAACCCCTACCACGGACGCCACCGGAAACCTTAGCGGCAGCCCTAAGGATGGGGATAGCAGCGGTATGGCTGAGTCGCCCACGGTGGAGCAGGGTTACGGTTCGCCGGCGAGGGTAGGGTCGTCATCGGCGGTTTCATCGTCCGTGGCTATGCCTTGTCCCGAGGGAAACCTTCGTAGACGCCCGGACAGAGAAAAGAAGCGCCTTCTTGGTGTTCGTGACGGCGCAAAGGGCGGCGGCGGCGGCAGCGGCAGCAGTAGCAGTAGCAGCAGCAGCAGCAGTAGCAGCAGCAGCGGGGAAGGCGAGGGCTCGTCATCCTCCTGGGGCTTGCTTGAGCACGAACCAGGCGGGTGGGCGGGAGAAAGAGATAAAAGTTGTGAAGAAGACACGGCCGAGTTGGCGAGGGGGGGATCGCAGAGACATAATCCCGCGGAGGTCGATGGTATTTGCAGGGGGGGGTCTCGTGGTGGTTTCCCCACCCGGAGGAGGAGGAGGAGGAGGAG